ACTCACATGAGAGGCTTTATTTGAAATTGATAGATACAGAGAACAAAGATAGATGGCAGAGGAGAGGATTTTAAAATATGTGAGGATGAAAAGTTGTGAAAATATGTGGGATATTTTGGAAGGAGCTTTAAGTGCACTCTGGTGTGGGTGGTTGAGGAAATTAAGAACCCTGGGCAGAGCAACCAAAGACTGAGAAAGCCTGGGACCGCTCTGAAATGTGAAGAAGCCAGAGAGAGACAAAATTTTAGGAAGAAAGGAAATAAGACCAGCCTTAATATTTTTTTCAATGACACAAGTAATCTAAAAATATAATTTATAGTTTGAAAGAGCAGAGAAAATAAAATATATCCTTTGGCCATAATATCTCAAAACAAATAGTATCATTTTGTGTAAATCATGTATGTCTCATAAGTATACTTATGTTATTTTCCTACTCAATTTCATATATGATTTGTATCTTATTCATTTTGCTCATTTGGCAATAAATTACTTATGTGTGTCTTTGTTTTGCTAAATGACCTTCAATAGCATTTTAAAGGGTACTTGGTAATTTATCAATTTGATGCATCATAAATTATCTAATAATACACCTTTTGTAGGTCATTTGGGTTTTTGCTTTATTCATTTATTTATTGGTGTAGGACCATGAACGTTTCTTTTCCAATGACTTTTAAAAGTCTGGAATTTCCTCATGATGGATTCCAGGAAACATAAGTCCCATATCAGAGGGTGAACATAATTCATGGCTCTTCAGACATGTCACCTAATTGCTTTCCAAAAGATTGGAGCCAATTGACCCTGCCGCCAGCACGGTGTCGCCTTTTAGGCTCTAACGTTAGTGGAACATTTCAGTGGAGATGACCTATGGACAGATGAGAGTTGCGGCTGGAAAGAGAGATTTAGGATTCTTTCTTATAAATGAAACTACATTGTGAGCGGGTAATTTCAAAGGAAGAATACTGTGGAAGATGAACCCTACAGCATACTTTTTTTAAACCTTTATTATTTCACAGATCAAAATGCAAGGTTCCCATAGTGATGTGACTGGCCCTTCAGGGCCATGCAAGTAACCCTCAGTGAGACCAGGACTAGAACATGGTCTCTGGACTCCTCACACATGGATCTTCCACCGTTTGAGGCTGGGATTCTGTGAAGGAAGCATGGCTGTGGGCCACAGATTATGAGATTGAGTGTGTGTGAGGTTGGGGACGGGGGGAGAAGTTATGGCAGAAACGCAGGAGATAGGTTATCATAGA